CATTAGCACCTCTAGTAATATATTTACTGAGAAAAATGGTGACGTGTTCAATACTTATTTTACCCGCTGTACAGTAACTAATATCCTAAAACAAAAGTTCAACTAACAGGAAAAAAAAAAACAACAAAAAACAAAACAAAAACATTGAAAGTCAAGCATTTACTTGACATTTCACTTTTTGCTCCCCTAAAAGCAAAGCTAATTATAAAGAAATATACTATTGCAAATTACAGAGGTTGTGCCTCCCGCTCTGAAGCAGACAGGCAGTGAGTGACATGATTGCCTTCATCTATTTTTTATTGTGTGAGTGATGAGAGCAGACAAAGGCAGTGCACTCTGTTCACCACGTTTAATTACCATAGTAATTTACTGTAATTCGAAGTAATTTCTGCCCTTTGCTGAACTATAGACTTTATCTTATTTATAACCGCTGCCTGAAACTCTTTCTCACCTCAGCTGCAGCTCCTGATAAAGAAGTAAAATGGACAGGGAAGACATCTTTTTTTGTTAAAAATATCACAGAATATTAGAGATTATTGAAGGTAATTGATTTTTTTAAGTGTTAGAGTAGATAACTTATGGGTTAAGGTTCTTCAACTAATTTAATGAAGCAAGTTGCTTTAATAGATTGACATAGAATGACTGTCAATTAACCTTTTTATTAGTTTGATTGTTTTCTACTGCAGGAAATGTACTGACTACTGACAAAAACTCAACAAATACACACTTCAAAAAGAAGTAGTCATGATTTAATTGTACTTAAACATATTTTGAGATATTATTTTAAATATGTCTTCATGTAAAACCTCTTATTATTGGTAAGCAAAAGGAAATAGCAGTAATTCTTCCTTGGTATATACATTTTTTGTTGTTCCATCAATAGAAACAGCCCTGAGGGGTGGTATATGTGTGCAGACAGTTCAAATGGTGGCTACGGTCAAATTTCTGACCTCCAAACACCTGTCATCTCTGTCACTGGGCCACACTGCACTCTGGTCTTCTGGTACCACATGAGTGGATTCACCGTAGGATCCCTTCAGGTAAAGAGACGTGTTCATCTGGAAACCACATCTCACTTCTGTGTGACGTCTCGCCCGAGTCGAGTAACAACGTCTGCTGTTTTATTCAGGTGCTGCTCAGGCACAAGAACGAAACTCATGTAGTTTGGTCTCAGAATGGAAACCAAAACAACACATGGAGACGAGGAGAGGTGTTCCTGGGATTAACAGACGATATCCAGGTTTGCTTATTAGATACTTTAATGTGCATGCTAACCTTAATGACCAAATGAACCTGGGTCAGTTTACCACTAAACGTTCAGCAGTGTTTCTTATATTTTTCACTTTACTGTTTGTCTTACAAATGAGTAAATTTCTAGTTTGTTGTCCTTGTTCAGGTGATTTTTAGGACCAAACGGGGGATTAGCTACATGGGTGATGTGGTGATAGATGATGTCAGCTTCCAGGATTGCTCACCTCTGCTTCCATCAGACAAGCCGTGCACATCAGAGCAGTACGCCTGCGCTAACGGCCACTGCATCCCTCAGGACAACTTGTGTGACTTCATCAACCACTGTGGGGACAGTTCAGATGAGAACCCCTATATCTGCAGTGAGACCCGCCCCCTCGTGACGCCTGGGGAAAGATTAATTTCCAGATTATTGGACAGCCTGGATTAATCCCCTCTTCTTAATTATTGCTGTCTTTCAGAGGGCTTCAGCGRACACTGTGATTTTGAGTTTGACCTCTGTTCCTGGCGCCAGTGCCGGCAAGATGACTTTGATTGGCTGGTCAAAGTGGGCAGCACTCCAACTATTGGAACTGGACCATCGAGTGACCACACCCTGCGGGACCCCTCTGGACACTACCTGTACCTGGAGAGCTCTTTCCCTCAGAGAGTCGGTGATATTGCCCGTGTGACCGGACCCTTCATGAGCAAGAGGAGCTCCCAGTGTAAGGTCAGGCCAAGATGGAAGGGAGGAAAGGCATTTTGAGCTATTTATACTATAAGCAAAAAGGCATTGCATGGTCATCAATACAGATATCTGTTGTTTGAAGTCACAGCAGCAGCTAGCTGTAGCACCTCCTGGAGAAATATAATATCACAAGTTTCAGCTGGAATAATTGTTTGATATGAAACTGACAGTATAGTTTAAAGTTTAGAAAATAACATTTGCATGAACTGTTCCTTATGGGAACAAAAACCTGGTACCCATTGGGGGGAGTACCATTGGTGGGTCAGGGGTTAGGGTCAGGATGAAGGTGTGAAATGAGTTTAGGTTAGGTTTAGGGTCAGGTATGCACTGGGTTGGTTAGGGTTAGGGTAAGAGATCAGGGTTAGGCTGTAGAAATGACCGGTAAATGAATAAAAGTCAATGCAAAGACCCCATGAGGATAGAAGAACAAACATGTGTGTGTGTGTGTGTGTGTGT